CTTATACAATGATTGTATAAATGTTGGAAGAATGCCAACTAGTTATAGAAAGTATATGAACTTTCATGATTATTCATTTAAATTGGAATATGAAATTGGTAAATTAGTTGGTTGATTTCATGTCTTGTTAATTTTGGTTAATGATAATAGTCTCAACTAATTTGATGAAATTAAGCCCTTGTTTGACATCTATTTTTTCTCATTCTCATTATAATTTTTTTCTCTTTTTTCATTTCAACCACACATTTTATCAATAAAATAATATTACACATAAATCCAAAAATTCTCCTTACTTTTTAACCACACATTCTTCCATCAATCATTATTCCAAATTAAATTCTTCTTTAAAATGAGTGTCAAAAGATAGATGATTTATGCAAAATTATATTTGCTTAAGAGTATGAAAAATATGCTTTTGTCCTAATTTAATTAAAGTGAAAATCATTATTTAGTAATGAGAATTAAGCCGCTTAATTACTTGGAATTGTTGGAAAATCATACAGAATATTATGAAATATTCTAAAATCAATTTAGTCGAAAATGTGTATTTTTTCATATGAAAGATAATAATTTTTTGTATGATTATTTTTTAATAGGTGCGTCTCTTCATAAAGATTAATTCCAAGAGACATGTCTTTTTGTAGAATTGTGTCTTTTGAAAACACAACTTTTCAACCTATGTTTGATTTATTTATTCAAGTTGGAATACGGTAAATAGGGTGAATTGGTACCCCATGATTTGACATGAAATAATACTATCATGTGAAATGTCACAAATTTGATAAATTGTATATGTTTGGAGAAGTTGCAATTCTTATGAATCAAGATGCTTAACCTTCTTCATTGTACTATACTATACTATACTATACTAAAATGTGTGAAACCAATTAAGTTGGTTTATGCTTGGAAAAGCATTGTTGGTCTATGTGATGACCTTGATCAAATTAAATGTGGTTGGATTGAAATACATTGTATGCAATTTTAATTGAATAAATTGTGGATTGACAACCACTATTTTGAAAGTACTTAAACTTTCACGAAGCATTCGATAAGGACATTATCTATTTAAATGAATTGAATAATGAAAGAGTCGATGAACTCCAAGTTCAAGTATAACCTAAAAATGTGGGGGTTAACATTAAATGTTTGCGAATTTATATGAAAAGTTTAAGACATTGTTCATTAATTCCTATTTGAGAAATTGTGGGGATAACTTGGGGTGCGTTTGATTGTAAGGGTGGAAAATGGGTGGAAAGAAAATGTTTTACAGGGAAAAGATTTGCCCAGAAAATGTTTTGCAGGGAAAATGATTTCAAGTGTATTTAATTGGTATAATTTTTCACCCGAAAATTTTTTAAATTTTCTATTCGTTTGGCTTTGTTTTAAATGGAAATTGTCCATTAAAGTGATATTTTTTTCCACAATTAGTTATAAAATTTGTTTCCATTGCCAAAAAGAAAAAAAAATTGTTTCCTAAAAAATTATTTTTTTAAATCAAAGTTTAGTGTTCGTTTGACTTTGTTTTACATGGAAATTGTCCATTAAAGTGAAATTTTTTTTACCATTGGTTATGACATTTGTTTCCATCGCCAAAATAAAAATAAAATAATAATAATAATAATTCCAGCCAGCCGGGAAAACATTTTCATCAAAAATTGGGAAAATACACGTGTGAGGAAAAGTAGGAAAATATTTTCCGTGAACAATTTCGCCTATCAAACAGCCAAAAAAGTGGCAAGTGAAAAATATTTT